ATCTTCGCGCACCATCTTTGGCATCGCCGCCAAAATCAAAGTCATGACCTTGCGATCTAGCCGAACCCATCGAGGCTCAAGTAGTTCTGGAGCTGACCGCGGTCCAATGGACAATCGTTCCAGCGGCGAGGCCACCTGGTATCTGGCGTAGGCTTCCCTCACACATGCCATAATCTTCTCATACCAGATGGACGCTGAGTCTGACATGGCTCCGATGGTCTGCTCGGCCACATACAACCAGTCACTAAACTCAACTCCCGTGTCACCACTGAGCTCTGGAAGAGCGGGTAGCTCTGCGCTCTTCAGCGCTTCGTTGTCGACGCCGCCCTTCTTCTCCATGTACACCTGCTGAAGTTGTCTCATTCCTTGGACAAGAATGCCCAACGGTGAGCCTTCATCAACACTCGGAGTCTCACGCGACTGCCGATCGCCCAGAGGTCCGAACTGAGGAACCGCAGCTGTTCCACTAGGTTCCGTTCGTGCCGGACTGCCTCCTCGACCAAGCAGTCGATCTGAAAGTCCTCCCACCGCTCCTGTAGTAGGCGCCGCTGCCTTGCCCCAAGCAAGAGGATTGCCTTCAGATACTCCACCACTTCCACTAAATCCTGGAGGAGCTTCTCGTGGTTCCCAAGGACCTTGCCCATCACTGCGAGGTTGGCCGCCAAGTTCATTGCCTGGATGCCCTCCGCGAGCCTCATGGGGCGTTTGCCCTGGGCCACTGCTTCCTCCAGCAGCCACCATTTCATTTAGCAGCTGTGCCGATGTTTCCAAGGCTTGTCTCAGCTCATTATTCTCGTTGCGCAACTCCTTGACCTCGGTGTCCCGACCCGTCATGGCCAACTGTACTTGTTTTTTCACTTCTTCCATGATCTGCTCTTGTGACAAACTTGCCGAAGAGCTGTCATCTCGAGCTCCACCTGGAGGCCTTGATGTTATAGCCGATGGTCTTGAGGTCCATTCCGCCATTGCTTGTCTCACTTCAGGGCTCATCAGGGGGGTGTGCGCACCCATAGGGCTCGGATTGGGCGTCTGCCATGGAGATTGCAAGGTATGAAACTCCCTCTCATTGTTGTCTGCTTGCCCTGTAACCTGACTCATCACTGGTGCAACCACACGGCGATGTAGGACCTCACTGATCCTCGTAAC